ATGCTGATGGCTCTGTTGTGGGGTGTAGTAATTGTGGGGGTGGTGGAGATATGTTGGAAGGTTTTGCATTTCTTGTCCTGGCACGGTCTGGATCCTTTTTGTGTGTTCTGGGCTTGAGGAAGTTTGCTTCTGGTGATGAGGTTAGCGAGGTTCGGTGATTGTTTGAAGGCTAGGATGGGTGACTCTGGGAAGATCTCTTTAAGAATAGGGTCTCTGTCTAGTATGGGTTGCAGTTGTTTGAGGATTTGCCATACGGGTTCGAGGGAGGGGTGATATGTCATAACGAGCGGTGTACGATTTGTGGGGTTTTTCTTCCTACTGCAGCAGTTCTTCACATGGTATCCAGGTGGCTCTTTCAAACGTGCGCTCTCTCTCTCTGGAGGAGTGTCCTTGCTGGGTGAAAGCCTTTTTAAGATTGGTGAGGTGGCAATCCCGGGAGTTACCACCGCATTTGCACTGAAGAGATCTGAGGGCTTGGCTGTATATCACAGCTTTTTTGGTGTGCTTAGGGTGATTGCTGGTTCTGTGCAGATATGTATGTTGGTCTGTGGGTTTCTTGTATAACATGGTCTATATTTTATCATTCTGGATACTGATCATCGTGTCTAAAAAGGAGATGCTGGTGCTGGAGTATTCTAGAGAAAGTCGGATGGAGGGATGGTGACTGTTAAATTTCTGATGGAACTCAATCAGAGATTGCAGGTTTTCAGTCCAAATGATGAAGATGTCATCAATATATTTTAAGTATAGCAAGGGTTTGATGGTGCATTTCTTGAGGAAGTCTTCTTCCAGGTGGCTCAAAAAAAGGTTGGCATACTGTGGGGCCATTTTGGTGCCCATAGCTGTTCCCATCATCTGGAGGAAGTGTTGATTATTAAAAGTGAAATTGTTGTGTGAGGATGAAGTGTATAAGGTCAGTAATATCTTTGGGTCTGTATTCTGAGTTGTAATCTTGTTCCTGTAGATATGTACTGTAGTGCCTTGTACTCTGTGGCCTTGCTCTGTGGGTGACAAGTGGTTTTAGGATTGATTCAACGAAACCTGATATTTCCTATGTTAGGGTCCCATGGTTGGATATGATAGGTCTGCCAGGGTTCCCTTGTTTGTGGAGTTTAGGGAGCATGTAAAAAGTCCCCGGGTTAGGTAGCGGGGGGATCAAGGTCTGTAGATTTTCTTGTAGTGCTGATGGAAATGATTTGATGGTATTGTTGAGTTTCTTGGCGAAAAGGGGAGTAGGATCTTCTTGTAGTTCTTTGCAGTAGGTGGCGTCAGAGAGCTGTCTGTTGGCTTCCTTTATGTAGTCTTCATGGTTTAGGATGACTATGGCTCCTCCTTTATCTGCTGGTTTTATTACTATTTGGTGGTCAGATCTTAGAGATTCTGTGGCCTTTTTCCTCTGGTGGAGAGAGGTTGTTGTGGTGGCGCGTGTTGCTGATTATTTCATTGTTCATTCTTTCCCTGAAGCAGACAATGTAGCGGTCAAGGTTAGGGTTTCATTACAGTGTCCAGTCTGATTTTTTGGGTGTTTTTTGGTGTTGATCTTTTCCTGAATGTTGTCAGAGGATGAGTTGTTGTTGGGAGTGGGTTCAGTTTGGTCGTGGAAATATTCCTTGAGGCAGAGCTGTCGGAAGAATTCTTCTAGTTCTCCAAATTGAAGTATTTTATTAGGGTATTTTTCTGGACAGAAATTTAGGCCTTTAGAAAGGACAGATTTTTCAGTTTTGGTAAGTGTGTGTGTGGAGAGATTGATAATATTTGTGAGTTGGTTGTTGCTTTCAGTTTTATCAAGTCTGAGGTTGGGATGTTGTAAGGTGTTGGTGTTGTTCCTCTGATGGTTGTTTTGTGGCTGGGGAACTTGTTCTTGGAGTAATTTGTTCCATTTCTTCTTTATATGTGGGATGAATGTTGCACAACGTGTTGCGTAATCTCTTTGTATCCATTGTATATTATTAGGGAAGATGATTCCATTTCTGTCTTTTAAGCTGTTGTAGTATATGGTGATTTCCTTCCGGAGTTGGTCTCTTTTGGAGTAGATTAGGTGAAGTAGATGATTTCTAATTTTCTCTGAAGTTCTTCTGCATAGCTGTGAAGCATATTTGGAGTTGTGTGTAGTAGTCAGAGGATTGTAGATGGTTAGTCCTCAGAGAACGAAGTTGTTAATTAATGCACATATGTACAGCCCCTATTCAGCCTTCATTAGTCATAGGAGTATTCTATCTGCAATTTCATTTGTCAAAATACTACTCTCACTTAGAGGTCCTGACATATTTGAATAGCTATTTATTCGCCAGTGCATAGACAGTGTGTATTTCATTGGCTGGCACTGTGTCAGAAGCTGTGCTGCTATTTGTCATAGTGGAGGCTCCATTTGGCCCCTCAAATGAACTTGTTACAAGTGAATAAGGCATTTCATTGCATTGCATGTCATTACTGCAACTCATTGCATAGGGGGAACCTGTAAAAATAAAAAATCATTAAAAATTAAATAGCAACACAATAAATTATCCAAATAAAACACCTCTCTCTCTTTGAACAAGAAAATAAGCAATTGCTTTCTCAGGCCCAATCTTCCAATACAGTAGTTTTACTCTATTCCAGTTAGATTCAATTTAAGAGCAGCTGTTGGAAACCTAGCTGCCACTGCCACTGCTTCTGCTTCTTCCCACCACCCAACAGGCAATTCATTAGGTTGCAAACTTCTAATCAAAAGTATACTAGCTATGCCATACACCACTATCTAGAATTCTGAAATATTCAGCTAACTAAGTTCTTTCATACCTCAATCACTGTAGGATCGGAAAATCTCACAAACACTGTAAACAATGGAATTTCTCTTAACACTCTGGCGTGGGGGGAAGGGAAAGTGTTGTTATCTCATGTTGCAAAGGAAGAAGTGAGGCACAGAGTGCTTAAGAAACTGGACCAAGGTCACAAAACCACCTTTCAATACGTCTATTGAAATTAAATTAATTTGATTCACACATTTTTCTTGCCCACTTAATACTATGCACAGACAATCTAAGGAATTATTTACAAAGGGAATAGCCCAGACAGGCTGGTTTAGAATAAATATTCAGCATTAGCTATTCCACACTGTCTCCCCATGTGCAGTATGCCTTTTTATTCTGTTCTGAAAGTGGGTTAATTTAAACTACTAAAAGATGGTTTTGAGGTGGGGAAGGTATCCATGCAGGAGTTAGTACAAAACAGCTATTGTGCTCTAAATTCACAGCCTCATGTGTCATAACTCCCTTTTGACTTTCTAAGGTAAACAAATCCTAAAAATGCATGATGCACAATTTTCAAATCATTCTGTGTAGTCGACCACTTTAAATGGGCTTATCCGAAGCAAACACTTACATTCATCTCCTGGCACTTCACTAGCACCCTGATCTCTAAGATAAAAAGACAACAGGAGAATCTATTTAGTCATTTCAATCAGCTGGAGAAAAACACATGACAATGATTACAAATATTTCATTGATAATGTGCATTCAAGGAAGTACCTGGCATGGTGTGCAGATGGTGTGCCTGTAACAGAGGAAACATGTTGTAAAGATATAATGGTTATAGTATTCATACAACTCTTATTTATTCATCTTAGTCCAACTTTAATTCAATATAAACTTCACAATGGTTTAAAATCATAGAGCATTAGGGCTGGAAGGGACCTCAGGAGGTCATCTAATCCAACCCCTGCTCAAAACAGGACCATCCCCAACTAGATCATCCCAGCCAAGGCTTTTTTACCCGTATCTTAAAAACCTCCAAGGATGGAGGTTATACAACCTCTCTAAGTAACCCATTTCAGTGCTTTATTACCCTCCTTGTGACAAAGTTTTTCCTAATATCTAACTTAAGCTTCCTCTGGTGGAACTTGAGAGCATTACTCCTTGTTTCTTACCAGGGTGGATAAAAATCAAATTAACAAAAAAAATAAATTAAAAAAATAAGATTTTTTTTATTTAAATCTTTTTTTTAATTTCATTTTTTCTGTTAAGATGCATTTTAAAAAAATAAAACTATATAGTTTTAATTTAATATATATTAAAGTTCAAATATATCATCATGGAATAGGGATTATAACTTCTAATAATATACTATTTGAGAATATTGCTGGCTAAAGTGTAGGAGAAACAAAAATTGAACAGTGTGCAAAAAGTCTAGTGGGGAAAATTATTAACCTGAGTCTTGATGGGTGGAGCAATGTCCACAGTGATCCAGTAATATGTCCTTGTGTGACAACAGAAGGGACTGTCTACTTTACAGAAACAATTGATACATCAGGAAATGCACATGCAGCACAATGCTTCCAAGAAGTGGCAGTAAAAGCTATAAAAAACTGAAAAAAATTCAAATGTCTAGTACGCAGCTTTGTCACACACAATGCTGCGCATGTTTCAAAGATGAGAAGAAATCTAGAAGCAAGTGAAGAAAGCCCCAAGCTAATAACATATGGCTGATGCACCCTTTCGCCAATGACTTCAGCGCTCCAGAATAGAGGCTAATGTTGCTGAAATTGCAAAATACTTCCATAGCAACCACTTTGCAGCAGCTGCTCTGAAGAAAGCAGAAGGAACCAAACTAACTCTCCCACAAGATGTGCAACGGAACTCAGCAGCGGACTGTTTTGAGCAATATATTGAAATGCATTTCAATATAACTGGCCTAACCTGGTGACAATTTGTCAACAAAACCATGACAAAACAGACAGGACTGTCATAGCCAAAAGTTCTCAACATTGCGCTAAAGAGAGATGTAGAACATATGCTGACTATCCTGAAGCCTATTTCTATAGCCTTGAACAAAGTGCAGGGAAATCATTGCTTCATTGCTGATGCTGTTGAAATTTCGAAGGGACTGTGTGAGACCTTGAAAAGAGAAATAAGCAATGACAGAATTAAATTACAGGCATTAAAAAAAATGGATCAAGCAATACCTCCAGCTCATTTTCTTGCCAGTATTCTCAATACACAGTACCAAGGCCAATCCTTAACTCCTGAAGAAGAGGAGCTGGCTATGACATGGGCATCCAGCAATCGTCCCTCCATAATACCCACTATAATAAATTTCAGGGCTAAGGGTGAACCATGCATGAAATATATGTTTGCTGATGAGGTTTTAAAGAAAGTCACACCAGTGAACTGGTGGAAGTCACTTAAGCACCTGGATCCATCAGAGACTAGTAAAGTGATAATCCATCTTTTACCAGCAGTAGCTTCTTCTGCGGGTGTAAAAAGAACATTTTCTTCCTTTGGACTAAGTCAGTTTAAATTAAGAAATCACTTGGGAACTGAAAAAGCAAGATAGCTTTTCTTTCTTTTCTAGTTTAGGAATAAACGGGAAGAGGAAGGTGAAGGCTGAGTTTGCTGCATAACCAGGATTTTAAGTTTCTCATGTTGACCTGGCTGAAATAATCTATTTGATTTTTGTTAAAAACACATTTTACATAACTAAAATAGTTAAAAATTCAAAAATACATATACTTGTTTTGTTAATATAATTGTATATTTTTGTTGTTGAAGAAAAATATCCAAAATAAATAAGCTTTTTTAGGTCAATAAAATAATGTAATGTCATAATTCAGTTTTTGATATAGCGGCAAAATTAATCTGAAAAAATATCAAAATAAATCACTGCCTCAAAATGTATAGGGTGTACCTTCTAAAAATGAAACCTACATCTCTCTCTGAGTTGTGAATAATATGTATTAAGGTTATATCAAACAACAAGAATGCACTTTTTGTAGAAAACAATGATTAAATCAAGGCTTCCTGACCAGTGATTAAATCAAATCCACCCTGTTTCTTACCTTGTAATTTGATTTTCTTCTTAGAGATCAAACAGGCTAATCCAATGACAAAAATAATCCCTACTATCACCCCAGTTGTAGCATACACTGGCATGTAATAAGAGGCTAAGAAAAAGAAAAGAGTTAGTTAATCTCACAAAGTAGGTGATAGTTAAAGCACTTTATCATTATCATGTCTACAATGTTTTACAAGTAATCAAACAAAGTTAGGTATTCTCCTTTCAACAATATATTGATTCCAATGACCTGAAAATGTTGTATGTCAGTGCTGAATTATTTTTTTAAAAGAGGTAACTAGTTTTCCATAAACTAATTCACATTATAAGAAAAAAAAACAGTGTTCTACAATACAGATCCAAAATAATATATTTTCTAGTAGTACTCCTATACATTGAGGTTCATATTTTTAAACAGGTTTTAGAAGGGTCTCCATTTGTTTCTATAATCTTTTGTCAGTATAACTCATGGATTTGGTGGTGTTCTGCAGCACGTATCAAATAAACCACAGTCCGCCTCCTCCTCTCCCTTGTTCCTGCACTAGGTTTATACTAGGCACCTGGTACTTTTGGCATGCTGGGCCATGCAGATACTAGTGTGGGGGAGAGATGAAGCCCAGGATCTTTCTAATCTCCTCCTGCTTGCATAATAGATCCTACTTGTCCGGCCATGAAATTCAGATTCCACTGATGTCAACGACATGTTTGCCATTAACTTCTTGAGGCCAGGACTTCATGATCTCAAGCCATATGTGATATGTTAGAACAAGCAAGCTGCAGAACATTGAAAGACTATCATTTGTGCCCATGATGAATCAAGTTATTCAATCTGAGTCATTTAAAAATAAATCTAGACTCTAAACTTCTTAGGCCAGGGGCCGTTTCCTTTGATGTTGTATACAACTCGTAATGATAGCATTAATACCTTTCCAAAGGATTTTCATATTGAAGAGCTGCTTTTAGTGTCTATCCTAATCAAAATGGATAGAGCTGGTACACAAAAACAGAGGCCCATGAAATATTCCCATTCACTATGTTTGTGCTAATTCTTTTTCCTTAGAGACAGCAAATAATCTTTCCTATGGAAAAACAATTGAACTAGCGATGAGATGAGCCATGTGTTCATTTAAGCCAGTGGTTCCCAACCTTCTTGGACTCAAGGCAACCCTCACCAGACTCAGGGCAACTCTCCATAACTTTTACGTATTGAATGAAACCTAATTTCAAAAACTAATGTATGCATTATAGTGCTAGCCTCCTTACACAAGGCCTGGGCAGCAGGTGTGGGCAATTGTCCAGGCAGGGACAAGCCTAAACCTGGTTTATCTGCTCAGTTTATTGGCTTATCTCCTCACACCTTGTGGTACCCTTCAAAGGATCTTATGGCACCTCTGGGTGCCCTGGAACCCTAGTTGAGAATCACTGATTTAAACACACTAAGGCATAAAAAATCTTGGGTGGTTTAACGCCAGAAAATAGGAAATGAAAAAACCCAGTGTCATCATTTTCAGGCAGGCAATAGTTCTAGAAGCTACGGCATATTGTTGATATAGTTCTCACTTACATGGGGTAGGTGTTTTTCTCCCTTGTAGATACACTTTACTTGCAGTCCTCCATACATGTTTACCTTGTGACCAGGCATTTACAACACATAAATATGTCCCATTATCAGAATAAGTAACGTTCAAGATGGTCAGATTATTTACCACGTGTTTTTCATCTAAAACTGTATTGTTCAGTACCCGGTTCTTGATCTTCTCATCAACACAGCAGTGTGTATTATAAGACAAAGGAGGAGTATAAGAAACAGAAAACAGGCATTCACTTCTGTCAGTAGATTTGATCCAATACATGACAAACACTTGTTCTGGCTTTCTCATCTGAAATCCACAAGAGAGTGTGATGTTCTTCCCTTCTTCTATTGTAAGATCAGTCTCTAATTTTGCAGTACTATTCACAAAGACATTGTTTTCTGTAATGCAAAATGAAACAAACACAAAAGGGATTACAAATATGCACTGTAACTTCTTAGATATGCTTTACCTTGTAATGGTTCTTAAAATGACGACTGTCCCACCTCAGCTACAACAGATACAATTTTATAGAATTTAAAGTGCTTTTGGTGATATATCTGAACTACCTGCAAGGCATTTTTACTTTAACAAGCCAAGCAGTGGAAGACCCAACATATAAAGTAAGTATTAGGGATTTAACCTTGTGAAATCTGGCAATACTCAGGCAGGTCCAGCTGGCTGTTGCTTGCACAAAAGCAGGGCTGGCTACTAGTGGTTACTTCCCACTCTGCATGGAAACAGATGTTATCTGATTTCTCATTTGTGCTCCCTTTAACATTTTTAAGGTGGCACTTCTTGTACCATGTGACAGGAAAGTCAGTGATATGAAAGATAGTAATAGATTGTGCTGAGTTATTGCAGCAGATGTCTTTTACCTCGTGGCATTTTCCCCACTTCCCCATACCCACAATGCGGGTCTGTGCCAGGGACAGAGGGGAAAGTGCTTCCCTCCTCAGCCAGCCCCACAGGCCTGGCTGGGAGCGGGAACACCTAATGTTCCCCACTACTCCAGACCTGTGCTGAGCAGGAAACCCCCAGCACTCCCCGCTGCTCCATTTCACGATGTGCATCTAGCCTCTGAGTCACTGAGCTGAAGGTCTGGATGGCAATGCCTTGCAACACTCAGCTTCCATAGCGGTAGCCAAACCCACTGATATTTCTCATGAAATCCCACTGACACACTAAAACAAGAGTGCTCAACATCTGGCCCACAGGTCAAATGTGGCCCGTGGAGCCATAAGTATCCACCTCTCACGGCCCTCCACAGATCAGGAAATTTGGTGGCAAGGAAGCAGTGGCAATAAATACGGCCACCCTGCCCCACTGCTAAATTCCCAAATCCCAAGCCCTGCACAGCAAGTTAGTGCATGGTCACCACTATACTGATACATAAGAACTGCTATTTATTGGCTTAGACCATAAGTCCATCTTGCCCAGTATCCTGTGTCACACAATGGCAGAGTGGATGCTGAAGGGTAGTGTGAACAGGGTATGACCTGAATTTGTTTCCACTGTTCCTCTCTCACTTGCAACCTCCAGCCTTTAAGGTCTAGGAAGCTCTGATTCAGATGCTGTGGCCCCAACTCCCATGCTACTGATATACCTTTCCTCCTTTTGAATCTGGGTAAACTGTCAGCTTCCACAACATCTTGTGGCAATGAGTTTCACACTTCAATGATATGCTGTTTGAAAAAAAGAATGTTCTTTTGTTAGTTTAAACTTACTACCTATTCTTCCATATACTAGTGGAGGATAAAGAGTGGCCCACAAGGTTGAGAAGACAAGAGTAATGTCTCATTCCTGCATTCCAGTAAGTGCCTTTTGTCATTTCTGCTACATGTTTCAGTTCTGCCCACACACATGATGTGAGGATTGCGCCCCAAGCACCAATAGCATCAACTACAAATGCGGTTGGTAAAACTAAGAGTTGCAGGGGTTTCAAAGTATAAAACATCTATTAAAGATTAAATACTTGGAGTGATTCAACTACAGTGAACATGAAAAGCATGTTGAGAAACTAAAGTCATTTTAACAAAACAGCTGCCCTTAGACTGAGCATCTGGAGCTAACCATTTGTAAGCCAACATGTCAAAGTTTACATCAGTTTACAAACCACACCCACAACATTTAGCACATTCCTATTTTGTGAATGCTATGCAATCACTTGCACACATTAAGCTTTGCCATTTTGGTGTCTAACCTGTTTCTCAAACAGTTGTTTGGCTGTAGGATATAGGCACAAACATAACTTTGGAGATGACAGTCAATGGTAAGCACAGCAGACACAATCCACAAAAAAACACAAACTAGACACCTCCCACCTGATCAGCCACTATGTCATTCTCCAGGAAGACCAGTACCACCACATGCAGTTTTTCTTAGAGAGAAAAGCCATACAGTCACTACAATTAAGAGTGAAATAGTAATAAAACAACAGACAAAGGAAGAGCCATGGTTATCCTCAACTGTTAAGACTACATCAGTGAGGCCAACAGACACCTGACACCAACTACTATAAAGAATTTGTGGGGGATCCCACACCAATATTCGCCAAAAAACATCAAATCCTTTTTATACCAACTTCGTCTTCATCCACAGGAGCTTTACTTTCAATAGCCATCACTTCCTCCAAACCTTGGGCACAGCTATGGGCACAAAGATGGCCCCTCAATATGCCAGTCTCTTCATGAACTACCTGGAAAAATATTTTTTTTAAAGTGCACCACCAACCCTGCATCACATAGATGATATTTTTATCATCTGAGCTGAATATGTGGATGCACTTATTGACTTATACCACAGCTTCAACCATTATGACATTTATATTAAATTCTCTATGGAATACTCCTATACCAACATCAACTTCTAGACACCATGATCCACATCCAGGATGGCACCCTACAAACCCATGGACCATCACACATACATCCTCAACCAACAGCCATGCCAAACACACCAAAAAAGCTGTAATCTATAGTCAGGCCCTCAGATACCACCATATCTGCTCTGAGGAGAATATTTGCAACACACCTCACCAACAACTGAAAAGTGCCTTTACCTGATAAAGACAGTCCAACCAAGAAACAAATTGTATCTTTGGACAAGTGACCCAAACACCCCACAATAACCTACTACAATGCAAAAACAAGCACCCCACTGAGGCACATCCTTGGTCATTATATACTATTCTACCCCGGAACCTGTAAGAAGGATCATCAAACATGTATAGCCTATAACCAAGGAGAACTTTGAGATAAATATTCCAACCCTTCCCCAACTTCTGGCCTTCAAGCAATCCCAAACCTTGCCCAATTCATCATCAGAAGCAAGCTCCCCTCTAATCAACAAACAAAAAATGGGATACAACCCTGCCTTACCAATTAATGCAAAACATGTAAGCATTTGTCTACTGCCACATTAACAACCACAATCCACGGACCCTATACATGTATATCACTGAATGTAACATATTTCATCCAATGTACCAAATGGCCTCATGGAAACTATGTGGGTGAAACTAGATGGAAACTATTCACCAGAAGGAACTCTCACAGAAAAAAAATATAAAGGACAGAGACACACAAACACCAGCAGGAGCACACTTTCACAGAACAATCAGCCCCTTTCTGATCTCGAAATCTTCATGTTCAAAAGGAATTTACAAAACACCATCAGATCGTCATGAGATAAAAACTCATAACTTCACTGGACATTAAAAAGTCTAGACCTAATACAGATGGTATCTTTGTGGGTCATTCCAATCTAACAAATTCTTCTATTCATCTCTCTATACTCCACAGGTAATAACAATCCTCTTCCTTTCTAAATAGTCTTGCTCTTCCAATAATTAGATTGCCTCCTTCTTTTGTCTTATCACATCTCTTCAGTCCAAGTTCACAGCCCTCCTCTATTTCTCCAAGCAAACTGTTCTCATTTATACAGACCACTTTTTTCTCAGCCTGTTGTTTTCATTAGTTCTGGATTTTTACAGCTTTGGACTCTGTTTACCACTCACCCAAGTCCCAATTCACTGGAAGCCAATGTCCCAGCCTTCATCACTCATATGATTCCTTGCTCCCAAAGGAGTCTGTGTTGAAATCACGGAACCAAAGTATTAGTAAATGTAAGGGAAAGTGGCTGAACCTTGTATTCAGTCTTTAACCAAGCTCCTTGTTTTCTTTGCTGGCAGGAGACTTTATAAATCTCTCTCTCTCTCGCTATATATACAGATCGATAGATAGATATAAAATGTATCACTCACCTGCTGTTTGGTTAATTATGACTACCATAAAAAAGTTGTAATGTCGGCAGTGGGTCACGTTGCTAAAAAGTGGGCGAGTCTTTGATTCTTTCTCATCTAGAATCGCTCCACAGGCAAATACTCCTCCTCTTTGCAAGGAAAAAAATGACAGTTGATCTGAGACACACTTCAGGTCCCAATAGCGTCGTG